TCTTTATAATTATCCCAGGTCGGGGGAGCAGTCCTGCTCCCCCTGCATGTTGCCTTGCATGTCTAGGAGGGGTCCGAATTTGCATTCCATTGGACCTTGACTTACTCTAACTAAAAGAGGGGGAGTGACTTATTGGAGTGATACAACTTGGAAGAATAGCCTGGACCTGCATTGTTCAGTTTCTTTCTGGCTTCTTCTAAATGTTCTGTTTTGTTCCTCTGGGAACAGGTTCTGTCCCTGCATGGAAGGCCTGCCATGGTTCAATGCTGCCAATAGGTAAATTGGTCTGATTCTGGGTTTCAACAGAAGCCCTTGACCGTCACTATAAACTATATCACTGGATTGGCCTTTATGAATAGTAAATGTGGGAATGTTATGGTTTTCCATTTGCCTTCCTTGTTTTTTGTCTTATTTTGTTTAGATGGGGGAGGCAGGTGCTACTTACTCTCAACCCAATTCACAATAGCCTGATAAAAAGGTTTCTTTCTCTCTCCTATTAAGCCCTTGTCAAGTATCTCGCACATTATAGATGTTTAGTTCATGTTTGCTGATGTAATGATTTCTCGATTAAGTAAGAGTAAAGAAATAAATGAATAAACAAATGAGTTAGATAAACTGGGATAACTTTGCTCAGTGATCTCTGACACATCAATAAATTCTATTAAAGACTTCTCCAAAGACTCCAGACTTTTTCCCAAGTGATGTCTTACATTTCTCTGGAGAATTTGATAATATTATATAGCTGGAGAACAGAGTGTATTTGTTCATGGCTAAGCTTCTTGAATGAATTCTCTGTCAGCATATTCTATATTTTCTTTTCATTCATTCTTTAAGCCATTCTAGTTTGGCTTCTCCACCCATCACTCCACTGTAAATACTGCCACAACCAGTAGCTAATGTCACCAGTGACCCTCATGTCATTAATTTCAATAAATTTTAGGTCCTTATCTTGCTGAACTGTTCAGAAGCCCTGGCCACATTTAGGTGTCTCCTTCTCCTTGCCCTTTGCTTGGCTTCTGTGCACAAAGGTCTACTGGTTTTCCCGTTACTTCCATGGCTGCTGTTTCCTCATCTCCTTTGCCAGTTCCTTCCCTCAGTGATTGTTAAATGTTGGAGTTCTTTCAGACAGCTGCTCTAAGGATTCTTGTTTCCACTTCTCACACTGTCTTTCTTGATAATTTCATTTACCCATGGCTTAAATTATGACACAATCTAGCCATATGCTGTTGTCTATCAAGTTGACTCTCTGTAAGAACTGTCCGACTTGACATGTCCATTGTAAGTTTAGCTTGGCCTCTAACACAGTGTGCCCAAAACTATACCCACAGTCTTCCCCTCACCCCACAGAGTCCTGCTGCTCCTCCCATGTTTCCTATCTTAGTGTAACTCAGCTTTACCACCCACCAGGTTTACCATGACTTTTCCCTTTTCTTTATCTCTCCAGTATTTTTTTTTAAATCATACAAAATCTACACTCAAAATATTTTTTAATTCACTTCTCTCCATCCCCATGCCACCACCATCTCGTGTCTGCAATACAAAATAGCTTTCTGCTGGTCTGTAAACATCTCCTCTTGCCAACCTCAAATCCCAAGAATTAAGGGGATCTTTGTGGAAATTGAAAATCTGATTCTGTCACCCGCCTCAGTAGGGTGCATCAATACCTTCTCATTGTTCTCGGGATAGTCTCGAATCCTGAGCATGCTTTATAAAGTCTTGCCCAATAGGGCCTTGTTTACCTATCTTTCTCCCTTACTTTTCTCTGAAATAAGTCTCAGATTTGATAGTATGTTGGAAAAAAGGCTTTCTTTTACTCTTTATGTGAGATTAGGTGAATGCATATGTGTAAGATCCCATTTTTCTCCTTAGGGAGCACTCATCACATTTTAAATTGTTTGTTTAAAGACTACACATCTTGATGTATATTTAGTTCCTTGAGAGCAAGGATCGTGCCTCTCTTGTTCACTCTTTGTTCCTCAATGCCTGGAACTGAGTGCTTAATAAATATTGATTAAGTGAATATTGAATTAAGGAATATGTCCAAAGCATGACCTTGCATCTTAACTTTTCAATGCAACATGACATTTGGTATGTTTCATGTACGTACCACAGTGTGTTCCATGCATCAGTAATTATGTGTTATACCAAGCTACAGCAAAGAGAATCTAAAGAGAACAATGGTGTCTTCTCTTGCTGTTTCTTTCCTACACACTTTAAAAAGGTGAAAACTGTATGAGGAATTAGCTGGGAGATTACATCACTAAGGACCATATTATTTTTATAAACTCCTCTTTTTAAGGGCAAAACACTGAAAGCTTGTAAAATGTTCTCGTGCTTCCTAATTCCTAATAGAAACTTTAATATTGTTCTGAAATGACCCAAGCAATTGATTTTGAGACAAAGATAGCATTCTATTTTAATTTTCTTATTTTAAATGATTTTTTTTATTTTTAAAGTTATAAAAATAATAGCCAATGAATGGAAAGATATGAAAGAAAACTTCCCCCACCTCCATCCAAATTTACTGTCTGAGGTAAATGACAATTTGACGTACATCCTTCCAGACTGTTCTCATGCTCATATAGATATATACAAAATTATATACACAAGCCAAGAGACCTTGGTATTTGCTTATTTAGAAAAATAGGTTTAACAATGTACATTTCTCTGCAACTTGGATTACTCTTTGAATAATTATAAGCACCTTTCCAGGTCAATAGATACATATCTGATTCCTCATTTTTAAACTACATCGTTTTTCGTGGTAATGATAAACAGAGTTTATTTAATAATATTTTTGTTGATAGGCGTTCATATCATTGCCCAGGTTTTGCTCCTACAAACAATAGTGCAATAAATATTATATAGGTATCCTTACACAATAATGCCTTTATTTGCAGAGGATATATTATCAAAGTAGGATAACTGAGTCAAGGTGTATGTGCATTTATATATGTATATTTTTAATTTTCATAGCTATTGATTATGTTCCCAAATGACTGCAGAATTTCATACTTCCGAGATGGCTGCCTTACCCTCACCTTGTCTCTCACTGTATTTTATATTTCAGTAGTGCTCTCCTTCTAGTTTCTGGGTTAAGCTGTTCCCTCGTAGGAACTTCCATATTATACCTTTCCTGTTATTACCCTAAGGATGTTTCTTTTTGTAGATGGTACCTACTCTACTCCTCCCTGACAAATAAGACTCATGGTCTGTCCTTAATGGCAGAAAAGCTAAATGGGAAGAAAAAACCTCTGAATAGGTCAGAGAAAATATGCATTATGAGATATTTCAAAAATGTCTCTCTTCTACAATTAAGCCTCTGACTTGACTAAAATATTTACCCAATAATCTCATCCCATGAAAAGGTAACCTTTAAGATTCCCTCACTCACTCATTCTTTGATATGCATCCTGATGAGACCTTTATAATGTCTTTACTTCCCTACCTTTTCTTTACCTTCTAGAACCTGAGCTTTCCTTGGGTAAAGGTTTAAACCCCATGCCATTATTATGCTTTTTCTTCTCTTTTAAGAATCTATCTTTAACACACATTACTAATTTCCAGAAATCTGATCTTCCTCCATTTACATTTAATATATATTATGCAGGATTTATTTCTTCCTACTTTTTATCTTCTTTTTTCCACTGCTTTGAGATCCCTGCTTTGATTTAGTCATCATGATATGGTCAGGATAATTCCTCACACTCCTCAACTAAGATACAAGAGTAGTATACAGTCAGAACGTTTGCATGTTCAAAAGTGACTTGTTTTGCCAAAATAGATGAACGATGCAGTAAAGTTCTTGGGTTGTACTTTTCCTTTTTTTTCTCAAGTTACTACAGATGTTGCCTACTGTCTTTGAGCTTAGGGTATTAGTGATGGAAGGACCGATGCTCTTCTGTTCCTCTTCCCTTTGTCCGTAATCATGTTTCTTCAGGAAGGAGGCTACTTATGTTGCTTTTTAACATTGTAGCTGGAGATTTCCACTAGATTTATCCAGGGATTTGTATGTTTTATTAATCTGGCCTCAGATTTAGTAAACCGTTTCACTCTACAGACTCAAGTGATTCTTTACCGTAGGTAAACTTTCTTCTGTTATTAATTGACTTATTATTTCTTCCCCATGTAGTCCTCTTTCTCATTCTGGAACTCATAGTATTTACATGTTGGGGTCTTGGTTCTGTCCACCAAGCCTGTTATCAATTCTCTTAAAGTATCTCTTTTAGTTTTTGCTCTGTTGTGTTAGTTTTCTATTGCTGCTGTAACAAATTACCACAGACTTAATGGCTTAAAACAATGCTAATGTATTATCTTACAGTTCTGTGGGTTACAACTCTAACATGAGTCTCAATGGGCTAAAATCAATGGCAGGACTGGGTTCCTTCTGGAGTCTCTAGGAAGGAATCCGTTTCTTTACCTTTTCCAGCTTCTAAAGGCCACCCATATTGATTTGTGATCCCCTTTTTCTGTCTTCACATCCATCAACATTGGATCTCTTTGACCATTTTTTAGTAGTCACATCTCCTTACCCTCCTTTTCTGCTGACCTCTTCTACTTTTAAGGACCCTTGTGATTTCATTGAGCCCACCTGAGTAGTCGAAGATAACCTTCCCATCTCGACGTCCTTAACTTAATCACATCCGCAAATTCTCTTTTACCATGCAAGGTAACATTCACATGTTGCAGGCATTTGGACATGAACATCCTTAGAGGGCCATTGTTCTGCAACCTGTATTGTGACACGGTTCTTACATTGCATCTTTCAAACCTCCAATTTGGTACAACAATAATGAGTTGAAGGCTAGAGAAGAATGATGAGTGAAAGGAGAACTCAAATAGACCTAGTGATCATTTTCAGAGCTGTTTGCAATTATGCTTTTTCAAAAACATTTCCCGTCAGCCTTCATAGAGCTTATTCCCCAGTGCAGCATACTCCACACTCTTTCCAGAGTTACTGTGGCTGGCGTGACTCACCATATGCTCCTGTTCTCTTATAGAATCCAGTGAACATGAAGACAAGAGTGCAGGTGCCTCAGGGGAGACACCTTCCCAGCCTTATCCTGCACCAGTGTACAGTCAGCCCGAGGAGGTGAAGGACCAGATGGATGACACAAAGCCAACTAAACCTGAAGAGAATGAGGACTCAGACCCATTGCCTGATAACTGGGAAATGGCCTATACAGAGAAGGGTGAAGTCTACTTCATTGAGTGAGTTTTACACATTTCCTTGAACATTGCCATGAAAATCATTGCAGAATATAAATGATGTAGCAAGTAGAGATGTGATCAAAAGAAAACATATGATTTTATTGTTTGTAGTATTAGCTTCCTTCTTTGTGAGAGAATAAGAGGATAGTGCCTTGACACTGGTAAGGATCCTAGAACACAGCTATAAATCGAAGAATGAATTAAACAATTCCACCGTATTTGTATAATCTGTTACAATCTTAATTAAAAAGGTAAATCTTCATATGATGCTATTACTAAATTAGAAATAATGTAGATATCATGGGAAAATGCTTAATCAACTCTAAGGACCCCCATCTGGTCTAAATGAGATTTTCCCTATTGTTTAAGTTACTTTTCCAGAAATGTTCACCCTCATGTTCAGGAGCTTAATAGGATGCAGCCATTTAAAACAAAACATTTTCTGTTTCAAAAAGAAAAAGTTTTAAACATTTGACCCTGGGGTCAGGAGTCAGTAAAAAATTCAATTTTGTATAGTTCATTATAGTTCCTTTTACTAAATTGCATTCTATCAGTTGCTTACCATTTTTATGACTTGCCAAGGAAAGTGAAATGTTAATCCTGATCTTGCTCGTGATATTCAACCTAATCTTTTATTTCTTCTAGGAGTTTTTTTCAAAATATAAATTTTTCATGTATTTTGTTAACAATAATGTCTAGCTTTCCTTTTCTTTATCTTCTGGATAAAGGAACTCCAAAGTTGAAAATCTTAGCATGAAATTAAATGGTTGATGTGATAAGACAACCAAAATGTTCATTAGAAAGAATAAAAACTGAAAGTATTGTAAACAAACAATGCTTATCCTCTCAGTTGTTTGGGCCTCCAAGAGGAAAAAAAAAATAGAAACTGAAGTTTTCAGTGTTGTCAGTGGATAAAAATATGTAAACTGATTATTCAAGAAAAATATTAAAACTATTCCTTTTCCCAACCTAGAGTGATTTATGACTTAGTTCTCCATAGGCAGAACTCAGTTGTGAAATTGAAATGTTACCACATACCAATATTTAATTCTCACGTGAAGTTGGAAACTTTGATAAGATGTGGCCAAGAGAATACATAATCAGGTAATTACTTGGCGCTGTGCTTGACTCCAACATGGATGAGAAATGCAGTATTTTACAGAAAATAAATCACAAGCATTCATCTTTCAGCAAATGTTCAAAGTTTAAAAAAAGATAAAGAATTTCTTGTATTATTTCTTATTACTATAATCAATGACCAAGAGACATCTTTTATCAATTAATTAGAAAAGAAAAAGTCATATCGAATTTTTTAAAATGTGACCAACTGAAACATCCTCAATAGTATTTATATCTAGAAACAGAATTTTGACATTGATATGCACAGCCTGACATCATTGCAGATCAGAAGTCAAAGTATAAATCCTAGATGTGGTCACACATTGATGTTCAGAACAATTGATGTCCAGAACAAGGAAACTGATGATATACATGTTTTTATTATATATACAGGGGGAGTGAGGCTATGTGGAAATAACAAAAGAAAACCAGCCTGACAAGTTGACTAAAGAATTGTTTCCTTACAATGTTTCCAGTAATGCAGTTATAAAACCTTTTTTATTTGTAATTGTAAAATAAACTTTCCTCTTTTAACTGCGTCAGGTTTGGGGGTTGTAAAGAAAAGGTACTTTGGAAGGCAGAAGTTGTGCTCCCAGTATACGGTAAATGAGGAGGCTCTGTCCAGGCTTGAGAGAACCTAGCAAAATGATTCTTTGACTCTGGTCAGTCAGCCAGTGTGGATTTATTGTCAAGTTGGAGAAGAGAGACAAAAGTTATAAACAATTAGTAATCAATTGATTTCTGAATTTTTGTGATAGTATTCAGAGAATAAGCTTGCAATAGAGCTAAGTTGTAAAAAGAGGCATCATAGGGAAGCTGAGGTAACATAGACTTGAAAAGTTGATAACGTGTATGCATAAGAATTGTCATTACAAAGACCCAGTCCCTGGGAGTGTTAGGGTGGTGAGGAGACTCCCTGACCCACTGGAGAAGTCTGTATTACTTGGTAAATTCTGGAAATTACCTGCTTAGTGTTCATTTTGCTAGATCAGTAGGGCTTTCAAAAGGCAAGCAAAGGATTGGCTTTTTTTGTTGTTCGTTTTTGTTTGTTTTTTAACCTTCTTCCTAATGCTGGGGGAAAGGACCAGTGGACAGTATTAGGAGCAGACATAGGTCGAGGTGGAAAATTAAGACAAAACAGAGGAGACAATTTCATTTGCGTCCAGAGAGCTGACTCTGGCCTGCTCAGTGTCACTCCACAGAACGGAGCATCCCTCACCACACCTTCATGCTGGACCAGTTTGAGCTTCATCTTTCCGTCCTCCAAAAAGGTTGCCTTTGAATCCCAAGACTCAGTGTGATGAGCTCGGGTATCACAGAGCAGGGAGTGGGTCAGCGTCGTTTTGCTTTTTGTCTGTCCCTCATTTGCACACCATCCCCCCACACTGCAGTCTCCTTTGTCTCTGCCTGTGTTTCATTTTGCTTCACCTTCCCTCACTTTTCACTGATTTTCTCCATCTGCTTTTGCTTTTTGCTCTGAAATGCCCCTTCCTTTACTAGCTACATTGACAGAATCAACATTTCCACCTCCTGTCATTGACGTGTGAGTACCTTTGCTATTGATACCACAAGAGATTCTTTTTTTTTTTTTATTTTTTTTTTTTATTTTTTTGTCAATATACACTGTATATGATTATTATGGCCCGTCACCGACACCTCCCTCCCTCCTCCCTCTCTCCCCTCCCCCCCAAGAATGTCCTTTCCATTTGCTTGTTGTAACAACTTCATGGAAGTATAGTTGTTATATCTTCTTCCCCACCCCACCCCCCCCGGTTTTTTTTTTTTTGTGTGTGTGTGTGTGTGTGTATGTGGGTGAATTAGTTTGTTTTTTTTTCTTTTTTTTTTTTTTTTTTTTTTTTTTTATTTATTTATTTTTTAATTTTGTCAATATACACTGTATATGATTATTATGGCCCGTCACCGACACCTCCCTCCCTCCTCCCTCTCTCCCCTCCCCCCCAAGAATGTCCTTTCCATTTGCTTGTTGTAACAACTTCATGGAAGTATAGTTGTTATATCTTCTTCCCCACCCCACCCCACCCGGTTTTTTTTTTTTTTGTGTGTGTGTGTGTGTGTGTATGTGGGTGA